ACAGAATCACTAACAATTCGCAATATCTATTTCCATTATTAATATTGGAGAAGTTAGATAATTTTGCTGTTCTAACATACTGACAAAACAGTTCTGTAGTTTTGGTCATACAGAATCACTAACAATTCGCAATATCTATTTCCATTATTAATATTGGAGAAGTTAGATAATTTTGCTGTTCTAACATACTGACAAAACAGTTCTGTAGTTTTGGGCATACAGAATCACTAACAATTCGCAATATCTATTTCCATTATTAATATTGGAAAAGTTAGATAATTTTGCTGTTCTAACATACTGACAAAACAGGATTTAAAAATCTTTTATTTAAGTTTTTTCAAAAGGAGATACTAAATAATATTACAGTTTGAGTTCCAAAAAGTATTTGATATGAATATTAAAATCATGACCTCAAAAAATGTGCTTATGAAAGACAAGAGCTTATGAGCTGAAAATTATAAAAAATAACTATTATGTGAGGTAGAACCTGATCTTATGTATAATATGTGATCTTAATTGTTTTAGTAGTATTTCTTTATCATTCTCTTCTCTCTTAGTAAATTTATTGTTTTATTAGTCATAGGTAGGTTTCAATAGAATCCTCTTGAAATACTTTTAAGCAAATACTAAGAAGAAAAACATTATAAAATTTGTTTAACCCCATTCTCTACAGGTAGACCAAAGTGTGCATGTCATGACATTTTATACAGTTGCATTCAAAATTTAATTATACTACTTTGTTATCATTATATTCTAATAAAATTGGCATTAAGAATAGTTAATAAATGAAATTTTAATATTATATAAATTTTAAGTTCTTAATTTGATAAGGAAATATTTTAAACAATTCTCAATTTCCCCTAGTATCAGAATTAATACATTTCTTCTCCAATTTATTCACCACCACTCAGAGAATTTAATATACATATTTTTTCCAATATGGATGTTACTAAGACAAAGCTTGATTGTTGTAGTCTTCAATAATCTTATGTGTTTATGGAGCCATAAACTAGCAAATAAGACCCACTTGCCATACCTACCTGTCACATCCTCTCTTTCACAAATTGCCAGTGAAATTTTGAGTGAAGGGTAGATTTGGTATCAAAACTCATTTTTTTTTACAGGTAAAGTAGAGGCTTAGTTTTAAACTTTTGTATTTT